CTCCAGTCACATGATCCTTCAGAAATCATTCTAATATGATGATTTGTAGCTCAAAAAACATTTATTATTATTATTATGTTGAGCTGAGTAGAATTTTTTCAGGTTTCTTTGATGAATAGAAAGTTCAGAAGAACAGCATTTTCATTTATCATCATTTTTGATAAATTTAAAGCATCCTTGCTAAAAGTATTAATTTCTATAATCCCCCCCCCCAAAAAAAAACCTGACTCCAAGCTTTTGAATGGTATAGTGTATAATGTTACAAAAGCTTTTTATTTCAGATAAATGCTGATCTTTGGATCTTTCTATTCATCAAAGAATCCTAAAAAAAAAAAAAAAAAACTGTTTTAAAGAAATCATTCTAATATGCTGATTTTCTGATTAAGAAACATTTCTAATTATTAAAAAATAATTCTAATTATTCAACACGGATTTTGCTGCATTTCATTTTTGTGGAAACTATGATTTGAAACTACCATTCAAAAGTTTGGGGGTAAGTAATATTTTGTTTAAAAAATAAATTAATATTTTTATGCAGCAAGGACACATTAAATTGATCAAAATTGACAGTAAAGGCATTTATAATGTTACATAATATATGATTTATATTTAAAATAAATGCTGTTCTTTTAAAAAAAAATACTGTTGGTTCAAAAATATTAAGCAGCAAAAACTGCTTTTAACATTGATAATAATAAAAATGATTATTAATTATAGCGCACCAGTGATAATTGTTAATGAGCAGCAAATCAGCATTTTAGAATGATTTCTGAAGGATCATGTGACACTGAAGACTGGAGTAATGATGCTGAAAATTTAGCTTTGATCACAGGAATAAATTACATTTTAAAATATATTCAAATAAAAAGCAGTTATTTTAAATAGTAAAAATATTTCACAATATTACTGCTTTTGCTGTACTTTGGATCAAATAAACGCAGGCTTGGTGAGCAGAAGAGAATTCTTTAAAAAACATTAAAAATCTTACTGTTCAAAATTTTTTTAACTGGTAGTGTAGATATGTATCATTGTATCTAGTAGTTTTGGATAAGAATAAAACGTCAGGTCCGACAATATTGTGTCTTTTTGAATTTAAATCTAGATTTATTCGCATTGGCCCATGGAAACTTCTATGAACACACTTGACTTGACTTGGCCAAAAAATTGCGGGGGACGAATTTACGTTTTATTAAAAAGTGTTTCGTATTCTACACTCATGGCGCGCACACACATTAGGATAGGTTAGATGCCTGCCTCCGCTGCGAGTCCCTAAGGTATGCCCGATTACCAGTCCAGCCTTGGCTCCCACTCAAACGTACATACATACATACAGTACTGACAGAAACATACACGCGCACAGAAACGTGTTCTCAGCGCTGCTCTGACGATTTTATCAGTAAAATAGCTCAATAACTTCAAAGCTACATGTCATTTCTCACAACAAGCGAGGTAACAGCGGCGCTGTTCTTGAAGCAGATGAACTTAACAGTTTTGCTAGGGACGTTGCTGCCGAACAACTGTTGAGAGACGCACAGAGCTAAATCTCTCTGTCTCTGTAATAACTTTACTATAAATTAGTCTGCTATCAAAAGCTCAAGCCTCCGTTGCTAGGTCTTTAATGGCACTTTGGAATTAGCAACAGAGGCGTTGGATGAGAGGTTTTAATCCTACAAGAGCATTTCAAGGACAAACCCTGACAAATATCTTGAAACGCACCATCTGAACAATGTCCTGAGGTGTGGTAACCGTAGTACAAGCGGAATAAATCACTCCCGTCCATTGAATAATTAGAAAATAATGCACACCTGAGGTGTAACTCCGCTTTGAGTTGTGGCCGCGGCTGTGCATTATTTTCTAATAATTCAACGGCCTGTCGTCAGTTATTCCTTACTTAAATCATACCTACTCTGTAACTTTTGAATAACTGATAATAAGAAATGTTTCTTGAGCAGCAAATCAGCATATTAAAAGAATTGATGAAGGATCATGTGACAGTGAAGACTGGAGTAATGATGCTGAAAATTCAGCTTTGCATCACAGGAATAAATTGCATTTAAAATATATTCATAGAAAACGGCAATGATCAATTGTAACAACAGCTCATAATATTACTGCATTATCTGTTTTTTGTTTTTTTTGAGTGGTTCAATATATTCCCTGAAGTAAAATGTGTGACAATATAGGCCCAGTCTCTTCTACTTACTGACATTAATGTTGCATGCAAATAAACACATGGTCCAAAGATTCTAATTGATTCAAATTATAATGGTGAAAATGTCATCTCACTCATAATGCACACAATAACACATGTATACATTAATGCATTTAATTGCTAGTGCAGGCTGAATATAAATGTATAAATACAGGTAAAAAATGCACTAATACTCACTGTAAATGGATTTTAATTGACAGGAAAGTGTGGAAAGCCCCACCTGACACTGAACTCAGTCTAATGCAGAATGAAAGTTGTGTGATTGAAGTGAAAGTGATTTTAAAGGGTAACTTGTTGCTGCTTGTAAATGCGTCTACCATGAGATTCACTTAATTTCACTCCTGAGAGCATAAAACAAAGTGTGGTACTAATACATATGGGTTCAGAGGGGGAGTTGGGTCTTGTCTAGCATCTGTGGCTTTATTTAATTACTGCTGTTGTGTAGACATATTTTTAATGACACTGGCACGAAATTACAAAACAATTTAGCAAACTGCATTGCATGCATGTAGAAATAATGTGTTAATGGAGTTTATTCTCTAGAGGGCGCTGCTGTGCAAAGGCCAATCATATAATACCGGCATTCAAAGAAAAAGCAAAAAAACAACAGAACACCGTCAAGTATTTAGCTTAATAAATCAATTTAT